GTCATTGTTGGTATTGTTAATGTTGCCATTAGATTTCTTCTGGATTCAGCATTTTATATTTCTCTGACATTTTTGTAGGTTGATCTTGCATTCATAGATGTGGTCTTTTGGGTGGTCTTTCATTTTCTCTGACATTTTTGTGGTTAGTTTTATAAATATAGAATCATCACCATTCATCGTTAGTCTATTGTTGCTTCGTTGCTGATGTTATTTGTCAGTCCTTTTCATCGTTGGTGCTGTCATTCATTGGTGCTTTTTTTGTCTTTGGTGAGTTGTTCTTGCTGTGTGCCGTATTATACTATATATGCTAAAAGAAGGTAGAATGTGCTTAGGGTTAGAGTTATATATCGAGATTTACATTCTGGTAATATTTTATTAAAAGAACAATATGAAGCTTATATTACTGATTTAGGTTTATCGATATTGTTTGATAAAAAACAAGAAGGCCATATTTATAAAGTTTTGCCATATTTAGCATCTAAGGTTTTGACTAGTAAACGATTTACTTAGCAGCTAATATTTACAGTTTTGGAATTATTATAATAGAAATATCAACTGGAAAAAGGCCTTTTAATAATTACAATTTTGATGCAAAATTATTTATAAAGATTTGTTATGGATTGCAACCTGAATTTAATATAGGAGCTCCAGAATGTTATGTTGAATTAGCCAAACAATGCATTGATTTAGATATGAATAAAAGACCCTCTGCTGTTGAGATTAGTGTTGGTTATGTGGGGTTTAGTGTTTGTTAGTATTAGTTAGTGTTAGTTAGTTAGTGTTAGTGTTAGTTAGTTAGTATTAGTGTTAGTGTTAATTATATAGGATTTAGTTTAGTTAGTGTTAGTTATACAGAGTTTAGTGTTAGGGTTAAGTTAGATAGTAGCGCGAGATTATGTAAGTGTAGATACGTATTAGTTGTATAATAAATATGAAATAAATATAATTAAGTGAAATATGTATAGTATAAAAAACTTAACAGTTGGTGCATTCTTTAGGGTTAGAGGTTAAGATTAGAGGTTATAGAGTTTATATTAAACAAGTAAAGAGGGTTAAATAGAATTCCATATTTCATTTTAACCGATTTCATTATAGTCTGTGACATATAAAATCGGTTAATTTTATTGGGATGCATGACCTACCAAGTACTGTACCAAGGAAATATAGTAAATTTAGGACGAACATGACAAATTTATGATAGTATATACGGTTTATAAAAGAAAAAATTCATCAAATTAAAGTTAATTTTTCTACTAACCCAATCTGAAAAAAAGACTATATTAGCGCTTACCCTAACCCTAACCATAAAAAGGGTTATATATAAAAATTAAAATTTGCAAGTATATTTAATCCTCTTATACTTGTTTAATCTTAACTCCTAATCCTAAAGAATGCGCCCAACTGTCATATTTTTTATACTACATATACATATTTCACTTTAATTATATTTATTTCATATTTATTATACAACTAATACGTATCCACACTTACATAATCTCGTATTACTATCTAACTTAACCCTAACACTAAACCATGTATAACTAACACTACACTAACTAACACTAACTAACACTAACTAACACTAACTAATACTAAACTCTGTATAACTAACATCGACAACACCAACGACAACACCAATGATATCACCAACTACAACACCAACTATGATAGCATGACGAAGGATAACAAGCTAAATAAATGAACAAAAAAAAATAAAAAATAAATCTGTTAGTAAAGCGAAGGAAGTGAAGGCAAGTAAAAAAAACAAATAAAAAATAATAAAAAACAAATCAAAGATGATCTATATTTATCTGTCCGGATCTGGCAATGCATCAGCAATCAGATTAACACATGAACTTAATCATGTGATCTTCCTGTTCTTTGATTGGTCAAAAGGCCAGAGATATATAAACTATATATCTTTGGCCAGAGATATTTAGAAAAACCTATTTTTAAAAGCAAAATAAAAAAAATTTATTAAATTTAACTAGTTATTTTTTGATAAATATTCATTTAAAGTTAAGCATCATAAAAAAAAGCTGTAGCCAAATTTTTTGTTTAGATTTAAATAAAGATTTCTTAATAATTATTTATTTAAATTCAATCATATTTTTTTTTAGTTCTACAAATTAGTAGAATTGAAATAAAAAAATTTTATTTAATTTAAATATGTAGTTGTTGAGAAATCTTTATTTAAATTTTTTAAAAATTAAAATATTAAAAAATTTTGATAAATTTTTTTTAAAAAAATTTAAATAAATATTTTTTGATAATTACTTATTTAAATTTGATAAAATTTTTTATTTTAATTCTACTTGTTTGTATAATTGAAATAAAAAAATTAATAAGCAGTTATTGAGAAATCTTCATTTAAATCTAAATAAAAAATTTGGTTGCAGCTTTACTTTAATAAATGCTTAATTTTAAATGAATATTTCTTAACAAATAACTATCCAAATATAATAAAATTTTTTTTATTTTACTTATACAAATTTATAAAATTAAGACAAAAAATTTCATTAAATTTGGATCGTTATTTGTTAAGAAATATTCATTTAAAGTTAAGTATTCATAAAAGAAAGTTGTAACCAAATTTTTTATTTAGATTTAAGTAAATATTTCTCAATAACTACTTAGGCCACACAAATTTAATATATTGGTTTTCATAACATGAAACTTTTAAACAGACCCGGCCGGCCGGCTCTGTTTAAAAGTTTCATGTTATGAAAACCAATATATTAAATTTGTGTGGCCTTATCTAAATTCGATAAAAAATTTTTTATTTCAATTCTATATACCTATAGAATTGAAATAAAAAAAATTGTTGAATTTAGTTAGTTATTCGTTGAGAAATCTTCAAGTAAAGTTCAAAGAAAGAAAATTTTACCCGATTTTAAATAATTTTTCTAAGATATTATATTATAGCTTTTTTAAAAGTTTAACCAAATATTTCTTAATAACTATCAAATAAAATTTGACAAAATTTTTTTTATTTCAATTCTCAGAGTTATAGCATTAAAATGAAAAAATCTTCACTAGATTTAATGAAGAGGTTATCGAAGAGCCTTCGATAGAAGTTTAAAAAAATTCAAAATCTTTAAAATGGACCTTCGATTTTCACCAATAAAATTTAGCGAGGATCGTCACGTGATCTGCATTTTTTTCGTCGTGGCTAGGGTATCTGAGGGGGCTATATTTACGTAATAAGTGATAGCTCCCAAATAATGCCCCAGTGAATTATTTTAAAGTACTGTACCTATTTTAAAAAGAGCCGAGAATTAACTTAGCTGAGGATTTTAAAAAATAAGATATTGTTAGCACTCGGCTAAATTAATTCTTAGCTCTCTTTAATTGTGTGCTTTAAACAAAAATAATACTAATTCTAAAGTTGAACGATCCCTTACCATGTTCATTTTAAGTCAAAAAAATAAATCATTTAACTTTCTATAGTGAATCCCAACATAAATTAAACACGCTCTTTTTTTGGCCTAATAGAGTTTTTCAAGAATTCGATTGTATTTAGTAGACAATTCGTAATAGTTATATCCTGGGCACATAGTGCCAGGGTATAACTGATTTATGCCCTGCGATCTTGATATATTGACCAGGGTATAAAATATTTAATTCGTTGTTTCAAGCTTATTTTCTAAAGCCGCCTATCCTATTATTATCACGTAAATCTTAAAAATATCATCTTATCCTTATCTCTTGTATTTACTGTTCACTCAACGCATATCCACCTAATTTTATCATCGTGCCCCGTGCATACTTTACGCACATCTTTCTTAAATATATCATGCCTGAAGTTACTTGAAGCTTCAGTCTTGATCGAGATGACACAATACAAAAAAAAACGATAAAGCAATCATGCAACTGTATCAGTATAATCCATACATGTTAGTAACGAAAAAAGAACATTTTATTAACGTGTTCATTAATAAAATAAAATGTTAATTGAATAAAATTAATATTTATTACAATAGAAGCATATATTATAATTACGATTTTTCAAATATTTGAAGTATGATTAATTCATCCAGTTCGTGCAAAAGTTTTTAAAGCTTTTCTTTTTTCCAATAAAAAAAAACCATTCAAATCATAATAATTTTGGAAGAGCATCAAAAATAAAATTCACAAGGCTCTCCAATGCTATTGACTTTCTTGATGATTCGCTTTTATGTTTTTATTTGGATTTCATTGTTTATTATTTATGGAGACTTAAATCAACATACGTATAATAAATTCCTTTAGTATCAACTATATTGCGTCTGTTTGACCTTTGTGCTTTTGAAGGTTGTCAAAGTTTGTAATGAAAAAGAAATATCGATATATATGTCAAACGATTTTTGAAATTTTTTTTGGTGACGATTTTACCCAATCACTAATCTGATAAGAAAAAGGTAGTGTCACTCATATATTCAAATGTTCAATTCAGTTAAATAATTAGGTATTCTAATATTAGAATATTCAAATACACTATTAATTTACAATTGTAATATTATAATCGTGAGGTTAAATAGCCTTGCAATCAGTGACATTTACTGATAACACACAGTGTATTGTGTAGTTTTTGGAATTTTGGAATTTTCGTAATCATAAAAAATTTAGTAGAAATTATTTAGAAAAAGAAGATACAAATAATCTAATAATTACGATAATCGAGATGTAAAAGCTTTCACTCCAATGACATTAAAATATTATGAATTTGTTCTTTTAATACAAAATTGGTTAATGGCTGTACTGTAACAAAAGAAAACAAAAAAATTCGGCTTAGAAGTTATTGTTGACGTGATGCGCATCGATATATATATTATTTGAAACGAGTTACCTTTATTTATTTAGATAAGCAAAAAGGCTTTTTCATAATAATCAACACAAATTGCTATAAATGTTTGTGATTAAAGTTAAATTTGAAAAAAAAACACTCAACGGATCCTTTTTTTCAAATAGTTGTTCTCACATATTGTAAACGCAATTCATACTAGACAACAAGAGTCAAGATGCCGGTCGATACTAAGATGAAAAATCCGCGAGAATATCGCGACTTGTGGAAACATATAACGCATCGACGTGGTTGGGGGTATTTATAACTACAGCAAATAGTAAAATACATATATGATACACTTTTAATGTGGTCGTTATCATCCTATACAACAGGTATCCCGATGTATTGGATGTTCAAGGCTCTGTATTTTGGAATATTGTCCCTTTACTCGTTTTTACAGCTTTATGGACAGTTTTTATCGTTGTCCTTTATATGTGTCTCGAAGTAAAAGCGATTGCCGTTTCCAGCAATTTAAGTACGAATCAATAATTATTTATATTATTTGTGATTTTCTCATTAATATCTAATATATATTTATTTTATTTTATTTTATTTTATTTTTTTTTAAAAAAAATTTTTTTTTATCATATAGCTGCTTCCGTCTCCGTTGTAGTGGCTCTTCTTTTAGCTTTCCGTACGAACAACTCATATACTCAATATAATGAAGGTAGACATTTATTCACTAATATGTGGTTAGTATCAAAAGTAACGTTTTTTATATTAACGCTTAGCGAACGCTAATTTTTTTTTAAATTATATATTTTACTTAGTACTGTTGTCAGAAATTGTGCGCGCGCATTATGGATAGGTGTCAGAGAACGTAATGAACAAGATCGTCTCGAAAAAGAAACTTGTATTAAACTATTATTGGGATATGTAGTTGCTGTTAAGCATCATATTCGGTTCGAATTTGGAATTCGTTGGAAAGATTTGGATGATCTTCTTCCTGAAGGCTTTCAAAAGACTTATTATGAAGGTAGTGCCGCACAGGTTGAAGAAACTTCTGGAGATAGATCTTTGCTCGCTGTATTACCAACTTCAATTCGAACAATATCAAACAAAATTCCACCAACCGCTTTTAGATCGGTTCTTATGTTTTCGAAAGAGGAGAAGGAAGCATTGTTTCAGGAACATGAAAAAGAGTTAACTCCCGACGCTGAAGCTGATGCGAGTATGAGTTTACCTTTGGTAAAATATCTTATCCATTTTATAAATTATTGAAATTCATGTACATTTCTCTAAAAAAAAAAAACAAAACAAAAAAAAAAAACAAAAAAACAAAAACAAAAAAAAAAATTTTTTTCTTTTCCTTGAACTTTAGGAAATTGTTTATCATCTACATTTGTATTTCGTGAATCTAACTAAAGAAAAGCAGGGAGGACGAATGGATAGCAGTAGATTTGGTTTATTGGTATCAGCATTAGATGAATTGATTGATATTTTGGGTAATTTAGAAAGGATTGGAGGCACTCCTCTCCCAATTGCCTATAATATTCATTTGTAAGTTTGATTTCTAATTTTATGCTATTATGCTCTCTTTAGAAAACGTCTATTTATCACCATATGGCATGTCTAAATTATTTGGACTGAATTAATATGTTAAATTTTTTTCACTACTTTTTATGTATAAAAATTGTTATATGGTAATATATAGCAATATACTCTATATCTTGTTATTTACGTAACATTTGTATTTTTATAGGAAACAAGCCGTCGTGTTATACAGTAAGGATAAATTTTATACCTTATATGTCTTAAATTATATAAATATATATTTTTTAATTATCATTTTCTATTTTTATAGTGATTGCTCTTCCGTTCACCATAGTTGCTGACCTTGATTGGTTTACTATTCCTACTATGGTTCTAGTAGCTTTTATTTTCTATGGTATTTTGGCTGTCGGTATGTAAAATGATTGTTTACAAATATGTTAACCTTTAAATGTACCTTTATGATATATTCACATGTACATTTTGAAATTTAATCATAGGTTCCGAAATTGAGAACCCATTTGGTAAGCTTATTATATGTCTTGATGAATTTCTTCTAAAAGATATGCGTTTTGATGTATTCATCTTTTGTATTTAGGATACGATGAGAACGATCTTCCATTGGACGAATACTGTAAGGTAAGGAAAAAAATATTTTTAAATTATTTATATTATTTGATTTATCGAATTAAAAATTTAAAATATAATCCAGGATTTGGAAGCAGAAGTTAAATATTTGCAACTACACCTTCCAAGTGATTTAAAATACAAAAGATAGATATAGGATGAAAAGTTTTAGCGTTATTACAAACGTAATCTTGAGTTTCATATACTTCTTAGAATAATATATACATATGTGGTTTTATTTAAGAAACTAGGAATTTTTTTATATTTATTTGCTAAATAAAACTTGAATGTTTAATTTATCGTTATCGTTATTGTAAATTGCGGAAAATATTCCAGTTCACGTGACCTCACGAATAAGCGTAAATTATTAATAATAAACTTAAAATTTGGATTATCGAAAATTAGCGTTAGCAATTACCTAACGCTAATATTATTATCGTTATACGTATAATATTATAGTTAAATAATTTTAAGATATACATTCTAATAGCTTTTAATCGGCGAATTCATTATAACTGCCCGGGTAGCTCAATTGGTAGAGCGTCAGGCTTTTAACCTGAATGTCGAGGGTTCGAGCCCCTCCTCGGGCGTTACGTCTTCTTTTTGGAATTTTTTTATTCTCGTATAGAAAAAATCACATGATTAATTTCAATCCAATACAAACAAGTTAATAAAGTAACGGAAGTCTATAAATACAAGCTAAGCCATTGGCTTATTTATTATGTGTACGGTTAAATAACTAATAGATTACATATGATTTCAAAAGCCTATTATATACCTATTATTTATATACTTATACAATAATAATATATCTAATTTTAAATTCATTACGATGTTCTTTAGGACAGATATTAGTATTAAAACATTGAATAATATTTTGGGAATAAGTCTCAACGTCAAGAGATATTGGACACTTTGTATTTGGATGAGACACGTATCATTTCAAAAGAAAGTATCGCCTTATGGTTCATAGTACCAGATCAAAACCGGAACGTTTATAGGACAACTCGCTACGTATTATCTAAGCCACGATTATACTTAATAAATTTTGAAAGATTTTTTTTTTCGCTATTATTTGTAACTTTGAAAGAAGAGTTAAACTTTAAAGCGGAGGAAGTAAAAAATGCATGATAATAAAGGTGAAAATATAACTACAAACAGAACGATCGAAGATCAAAAAAAAATAAGCAATAAAGTTAATCAAACATCTCAAGAACTCAGCAATGCTAATTCCTCTGAATTAAAAAAAACGCAATCAAGTAATCAATCGTCATTAATAGATTATTCAACAATCACAATTTCTGATAAAGTTCTTGATAATTTGGAGTCTAACAATGTTGGAAGTGATGCATCATCTATCAACGCTAGCAGTAACCTATCATCTACCAATGCTAGCAATAATCTGTCATCCACTGGATTATTAAAAACACAAATGGAATATAAAAGTTACGGTGATCATGAGAAGGAACATACATTGAAACGTGAACAGATAAAACTTGAAGCTAATGATAATCGGGACAAACTTTTAGGAAATAGTGGCAACGTGAATATTGAACAATCGCAGCAAAATCAACAGTTTATTTTTGTGCCTCGACCACCATCACATCAACAACCACTAACTAACCAACAACCGACGTCTCCTCAACAATTTTCATCTCACCAACAACCGACGTCTCCCCAACAATTTTCATCTCACCAACAACCGATGTCTCCCCAACGATTTTCATCTCACCAACAACCGCTTTCTTCCCAACAACCATCATCTCACCAACAACCGCCGTCTCCTCAACAACCATCATCTCACCAACAACTGCCGTCTCCCCAACAACCGTCATCTCACAAACAAGTACCGTCTCATCAACAACCACCGTCTCATCAACAACCACCATCTCATCAACAACCACCATCTCATCAACAATCACCATCTCATCAACAACCGCCGTCTCATCAACAACCTCTATCTCACCAACAACCATCTCCATTATTTTATCGAACACCACCTCCGCAACAATTGCCTCATCGTAAACCACCTCCACAACAATTACAGCCACCCTTACAACAGCTATCTCATAGACAGCCATCTTTGCAAATGAGACCACGAAATGATACAAATCCTACGCAGCAACTACTAAAACCATTGCAACCACAACAAAGACCACAAACAAATCCTAATGCTTATAAAATGAATGAATCTGACCAATTAGTATTTCAAAAGAATAAGTCAAACCTACATCAGGAAAGTAAAAGCGGGACATCCTTTTCCACAGTTGCTTTAGATGGATTAAAATCGGTAGAAAATTCCGATATCAAATTCGATAATAATAAAAATCCTTTACAAAAACCGGGTAAACACAATTTATCTTTTGAAATTTACTTCCACTAATTATTTTCACTAGTTATTTTCGTTAATCATTACCGTCAATCATTTCTAGGTTGGACTAGTAGTAGTAATACTTCGGAGAATCCAAGCCTACGTCAGCGCATTCCACAGCTTCCAATAGATACAAAAAATTCTAAAGTTTCCGGTACTGAAAAAGATTTGCTAATTGGGGGACGGGCCAGAACGAACGATAAGCATGGACAATTTCAAAATCCGTTTTCAACCAGTCTTCACTGGACTTGGATTTTATTGACTTTTCTTGCATTAGCAGCTATCGCATTTACTATTTATCGACTGGTATTTATTTATTAGATATTTATAATAGATATTTATAATATTTATTCTTTATAATATTTATTTCATTTGATTAACATTGCCATTTTAATTACTATTATCATAGGATTCAATTCACGTCGAAGAAAAAAAAGTTCACATTAAGGTTAGTTAATAAATATTTATATTGAAAGTATTGGAAATTAAATTGTTGGTTTTAAATATTAGATGCAACGTCCTTTCTTGGAAGTATTTACAAACTCAACTGTCACTTTAATGCAAGATCTTGACAAGATTAGTGATTTGCCTGGTAATTAATACATATTTTATTGATTAAAATCAGATAAAAAAAATTTTTTCGAAGAAAGTTCTGTTGCGCAAGTTTTATAAGCAGTGTTTAAAATTTAATGTTTCAGTATTCTCAGCATTCTCAGCATTCTCAGCATTCTCAGTATTCTCAGAAAGCACTTAATGATTTTCATGAACATGAATTGTTAAAAAACGTTCTCTATTTGAAAACATTAGACAAATTTTTTTAAAATTTCCTTTCCTTATAATAAGAATTCACAATGATTTTTTTGAAATTTTAAACACTGCTTACAAGCTTACGTTGAGCTTTTTCGAAAAATTTTCTGGATATAATGATAATAACTTAACATATATATTTATACTTATTTAATAAGCATCAGATACAATTATGAAAGGAACAGTTTTATATAAACGTTTAGCCAATATTCTCGAAACCAGTCCTGGTTTTAAAAATAATGGCGCAGCCATCGCATCATATCTTCGTCATTACAGTACTCAAATAATGGAAGCTGGACAAGCATTTGAAGATATGTATCGTCAAGGTGACTTGGTATTTTGGATTTTAGATAGAGAAATAAATCAAATTCTCGAAAAATTAAAACCAAATATATTCGGACAAATATTCTTCAAAGATGAATCTGCATTCTTTAAAGAACGAATTAAAGACATGATGCAAGTTGTTGACGCATTTAAATCAAAAGTTACGGATGCTATTAGAGCAGTTAGAGTTGCGGATTCAATTAGAGATCAGACTGAAAAAGGATTGTTTCGTGGAATTAAAATTGAAGCTGAAAAATTTGTAAGACTTGGAACACGTAATAATGAATATCGGTCAAAGTCAAATGGTAATCCTCCGCAATCGTTCCCAAATGAAGAATTAATTATCGATGTTGAGAATGCTAAAAAGCATTTAGAGCAAGCTGAAGAAATTTTGGACATGTTATATAGATCAGGTTATGGGTTAAATAGGTTGATTATTATCTTGAATAATTATAAAAATAGATTGTATGATGTTGATGCAGAACTTGACGACAAGATCACCATTACAAAAAAACAAATTGAGAAGCTAAGAAAGCTCTTGGATAATTTAAAGGAATGCCATACTAAATTTTTAAAACGAGATGAAATTGAAGATAATATTGATGTTACTCTTGATTCAAAAGATGAAATCGATGTTCATATAAAAATTAATGAAAAAACTAGTGAAAAAATTAGTGATAGTTATTAAAATTAATAGTGTTGTGGATGAAATTAGTGGTTAATCAATAATATAATCCAATAGAATAAAATTTTCTTCTTTTTCTTCTAAATATATATATAGTTTAGTACAATTCCATTTTCATAGCAGCAATCGAATTTATTCTATTTCTTCGTAAATATTTAATCGCTTATTCTATTATGAAATTGATGAGGATCAAATGAACCACGTAAACACCGAAAAAGTCGCGTATACGTGATTATACAAAGACTGCGCCTTAAGACTTTTCGGTGTGTACGTTAATTTTATGGTGTATATACCCAAATTTTCACGTATACGTTAAAATTTCGGTATCTACGTTCTTGAAAACTAAAATGAATATAAGAACCTTGAATTCAATAAACGAAAGGGACAGTTCCTTGTCCACTTTCAATTACCACTAAATAATAAAGTATATACTTATCTGAATTTTCTCTTAAGACTTTGTCTTTGAATTCGACTTGTAACTTTAATAAACCCTTTCGAGACTCAATTCGACGGACTGTATTGACTTGTAACTTCGATTTGGCTTATTAAGACTCGAATTCTGGTATACTCGTGGAAGAATAAAATATCGCCGTTCATTGTGGTAGAGAACGAGAGTTACAACCGTTACTTAATTCGTCACGTGAACTTAAAGTTATCACTGATACCACTTGACCATCGTCCGCTTTTACGTCATCCTTAATATGATATCACTAAACCATCATTAACGTTAATCATTATAACTGCAATTGATATTGTTTGGTATGTCGTTAGAGTGTTCAACAGCCTATAGGGAGGGTCACTAATGATCATCACTAATTTCGGATTTTTTATTGGAATCGATGCACATATATAAATCTTATTAAAACAAAAAATTAGATTTATTGAAATAAATAATTAACTAAATAGAATACTATTTTTTTTTAAATTGACACTCAAGACTAGCTCTACACCGAAATAGGGCTATTTTTTTAATATTTTTATAAAAATATTTAGAACGCTAATGATTAGTGTTCTTAGTTTCGATTATTAATACTTTTTTTACTTTTTTAAAAAGAAGTTTAAAAAAATAGCTCTATTTTAGTGTAAAGCTAATTTAGAGCTTCAATTTTTAAAAAAATAGCATATGGTTTGATTAATTAGTTATTTCAATAAATGTAATTTTATTTTGGTAAAATTTATAGCGAAAATCATATTAATATGGGACCGATTTACAATATCAATTACATTAGGCCTTCCAACATAATAAATTACCAGTTTACATTCGAATCCCGATACCTAGAATCCCAGCGTTCAAAATCCGAAGGCAATTATTGATACTATCGGGATTTTATTTTGGGCATCGGGATTTTAAATATCGGGATTCTGTGGTAAAACCAAAATTACCATTAGAAAATCCGCAATTAGTGATGATCATTAGTAACCCTGTCTATATGATTTTAATAGGCCGTTGAACACCCTAGTATGTCGTCAACGATAGTTAAAAAAAAAAAAAAAAAAAAATGCAAAAAATAAGCAGCACGACGCACGATATTTTTTATTTGAATGTTTATTCCAGCACTACATGGTTGATTATCATTTTTTAATAGTTTACAATGAAATTAAGCAAACTCGAGTTACAATAATTGAATAATGATTGTCGCGGCTGATGCTGAAATTGGCTGATGCTGAAATTTGGGGTTCCAATTTTAAAATATAGGCCCAACTAGAATCCACATATACTCTTTAATTATAAATTCTAACCCTAAATCCTAACCTAACTATAAAAAAAAGCAGTAAAAAAACACCCCAAAATTTGTTTAAAATTTCGTATCAAAATAGGTCCAAATTTCAGCATCAGCCAATTTCAGCATCAGCCGCGACAATGATTGTTGCATTCATCCGCAACACAGCAGAGAAACTTGTAAAATGATCACGAATATGGATAATATAATTAAATTCACCGTCTGGAGCCACTGTCATACTTATCATATCCACATTTAAAATAATATTTGTAATTAAAAGCTTTAAACAATTATATATACAACTATATAAATTCTTACTTAAACATGAGCAAGAAGCCTTTCTGCAATTATAGGCCTTATCGCGGGTACCCGTTTATTTGCACGTCGTGTCATACATATGGTTAGGTGCTGAGAAAAGGGACGAATTTGACAATTTTTTTCAAAGGATATTTTTTTTACATAAATCAATTAAAATAAGATTAGAATCATTTTTCACTTAAAACACAAAAGTAGTTGTATTAATAAAATTTTGGTTTGTTTTTTTTTTTTTAATCTTCGAAGGTTTAATAAAATTTTGTATAGCTCTTTAAAGTTGCATTTCTTATAATTTATTATAAGATTTACAACATAAAAATTGATTTTCTGAATATCTTTTTTTGTCAATTTTGTCCAATATTAATTTTATTAATTCTAAGTTTTATTCATTCTAGTTTTATTTTAACACTATAATAAAAATGAAGCACTGTAATAAATGTAATAATAATCACTCTGATAAAGGTGTGGTGACTTAGTGAAGTGGTCAAGTTGTTGCCCCCAAGTGGCACATCCAGAGTTCAATTCTCACTGATGACGAAAAATCGAATTCTCTTGTGTAATGATAACTATTCAGGTGTTGGGATGTAGATCCTGTAATGACGGTCAGACCAAATAGGTGCAAGGGTAATGATCGTCTAATGGATGGCTTATCTCGCAAGCCCTATTGGGGGCAGTAGTACAGACTTGAAAGATCATGGAGCATTCATGTAATAAAGAAGTTACACAAAGAGATACAAACTAATAAAAAGGTGGTGTAAATCCTGTGTAAATCTGTGGGACTAGTTCCGAATAGGAACCTGCTTGGCAAGTTCCGAGTAAAGAAGTAGTGCATATTTTCGACAGTTCTAGAAAGTCTAAGAAGAAACCAAAAAAGTTGCAGATCTGGACGAGGACTAGGTGTTTGGCGAGTACCATACCAACCAGGCCGCCGAAATCGACCAGAAGAAAAGGGTATAGGCTAATATCTGAGTTAAGCCAGTAAAAAAGCAGGTAATGTAACTTGTAGACCAAACTGAGCTATCTAAATTAGGAGTTTGGTGAAATAATAGAAGGGTTTCAGATTGGATAAGTATTGGAGCTGGGGTATGAGTGAACTTTATAAGGGCAGAAGTAGATAACGGTAGCAGTTTCAGCTCACAAGTACTTGTTCTCGAACTAGG